AGTGATCTTCACTTGTTAATTCACTTTTGTCTTAACTGCATGAGCTCAGCAGCTTGACTCGGGGGTATCTGTCATTGCCTTTCAGAATGATGAGGTGTCCGTTTCTGCCATTCAAACGGAAACAGTCTCACAGGGCTCCACCACTGAGAAAGTCTAAGAAGGGCCATCTTGTTTTCATCACAAGGAATCCTTTTTTTCACTAGGGCCCTTTTATAGACAACATTGGTCTCCATCTGACCTTAACTACCCTCTCTGGACCTCAGTTTCCTTATCTGACTAGATCACTAAAGCTCCTTCCAATCTGAAGACTCCAGCAGAAGAACTGTCATAGAAAAGGCAACAGAAGTGCCCAGCCAGTGTAGCTCAGTGGCTCAATGCCAACCATGAACCAGGAGGTCACAGTTCAATTCCTGGTCAGGGCACATGCCCGGGTGTGGGCTCGATCCCCTGTGCAGGGCATGCAGGAGACAGCCAATCAATGATTCTCATCATTGATGTTTCTATCTCTCTCTCCCTCTCCCTTCCTCTCTGAAATCAATCAAAATATTTTTTTAAAGAAAAGGAAGGAAGGAAAGGAAGGAGGGAGGGAGGGAGGGAGGAAGGAGGGAAGAAAGAGCAACAGAAGCAGTTTGCAAGGGTCACTCTGACACTATGGTTTTCTAAAATCAAAACTGCACACCAGGTGTTTGCTGTTATCCTGGTGAATATCTGAGTCCTCCACCCACCTGCTATAGAATGAAATGAGTTTTTAATGCCAAAGAGAACTGTGATGCCAATAAGCTAATTTCAGTTTTTCCTTGGATTCCTGTATCCTATGACCCTGCGGCAGGGGGGACATGCTCCCAGGATCCTTTCAGACGTGTTCTAGAAGTCTGTAATAAGTATCCATTGTTCTTCCACACACTTAACACTGACTCTCGGGCAACTTTTCTTTGATCATCGAAGATATTAAAAGTTTGTTTTTTAAAGAAAAACATGTTTTCCTGTGGAATCTTAGTGCTCTTGGAACTGCTTATGAAAAAAAGTAAGACTTAGAATAAAAAAAATAAAATAAAAATAATGTTAGTATTCAGGATATACAGACTTTTTGCTATCTAGCCCTGCGTGTTAATTATTAAATCATTACTATTTTGTATATTTTTAAAGAGGGAGCAACAAACAGATGCTCAGAAAATTGGGGCAATGTGCTCAAGGTCATGCAGCTGGCGAGAAGCATACATAGCAATCAGCACTCACTGTATGTGCATTTCGGAGCCTTTGGCTTTCCATTAAAATAATCAAAACCATTCCCTTTATGTTTCAGTCCTTTAGAAGTCGAGACTTAAGGGAACTAACAATTGGGTTACTTTGTTCTATTATTCTTCACTATAAAACCAAAAATATGTTTTAATAATTCCAATACTCATAAATTCCTGAAGATTTCTTTTTGTCTCCATTATTGTTATTCTGAAAGTCTTGTCTACCACTCCCACTCCAATAAAAGTCTGTATTTTCTAAGACTGGCAGAAAAAAAGAACACCATGGTTACTATAATCCTTGTTCTAGGACTAAATTAAAACATTAATACATATGAATCATTTGGACACAGCTGGGCACACCACTGGAGCTCCATAAATGGCAGCTAATCTTTTTAGGCAGAAAATCTTGGATTCATCAAGGAAATGGTCAAGTTACAGTCTTGTCAATTTCACCTCAGAGGTCCTGGGTGCGTTGTGCCTTAGCAAGCCATTGATCCCATGTAACCATCCAGAGCGTTAAGACGGAGGAATCAAGCATGTGATGTTGACTTAAGAATCCACCCCCAGTCTTCCTAGAAGTGCAGTCTGGAAGGGTACTCTGAATAAGGGTGGAACCAGGAGCTGGTCTGGCCTGGCATTACCTCCTCCTGCATTTTTGAGGCAGTCAGACGGGACTTTTCTGCCTCTAGGGTTTTCTCCTTCAACTGCCTTTGCATTTCTGCAAGCTCCCTGCGATTCTTCTCCTTGTAGTCATCCAGCTGGTTCTGGAGCTCCAGCGTTGACGTGCGGGACACCTCGACAATGTCGGCCATCTGGAAGAAGTGACACGGGGTGAGCCCACCTGCACGCTCCATCTGGGGTCAGGGAGCTAGCTTTGGGGGCCATCTAACAGGTCGCATCTCCTCCTCTTTCCCCTACAGCCTCTCCAAAGACTCTCCAAAGCACCTAGTCATGGGCTGTCCAGGTGTAGCCACCTCTAACTGGGGAGCAGCTAGGCCCAGAATCCAGAGGGGCTGGCATAGTCTAGACCTGTTTCCCTGTATCTGGGATTCTCAACAAGCCCAATGAGCTGTTCCAGGGGATCTGCATTTGTGCTTTCACATAACTGCAGGTTCCTTAGCTTTCATCAGCCCCCAGAGGGGCTGAATCCCACACCCTCTCCTCCCCGGGCTCCCTCCCTCCACTCTCTCGCCTCTTCCTGCTCCCTCACCTCCTTCTGCAGTTTCTCAATGGTCTTGTCAAGATGCCAGCGCTCATTCTCCATTTCGTTCTTCATTCTCCTTAACTGCTCCTTCTGCTCAGCCTCCTCTCTTAGCTTCTCGGACAACTGCTTCTGCTCCTGGGTGGCCCGACTCAGACTTGCCTGCAGATGGCAGGGAAAGGGCAGTGTTGTCGTCAACCCACCAGGTCAGGCACAGGAACAGGCGGCAGAGCGGGTTTCACAACCACACCACAGAGCGATCAGACACGTTACATCGGTAACAAGGAAAAGGATCCAAGTAAAGCCCTCCCAGAGACACAAGGATACTGCTGCTTCTGAAGTTCAGGGGCCAAGCTGCCTTGGCCCAAAGCATGTAGAGGCAGACAAAGGGTGCAAAACGGCCAAGGCTGCTGAGGGTGGCGATTCAGGATAGTGTCTGAAAACCTGACTGCTCACGCTTGGAAAGTGAGGTAAAGTTATGTATGAGTCTGGCCTGTGCGGCTCAGTTGGCTGAATGTTGCCCGTGCACCCAAAGGTCACTGGTTTGATTCTTGGCCAGGGCACATGCCCAGGTTGCGGGTTCAATCCCCAGTCGGGGTGCACATGGGAGGCAACTGATAGATGTTTCTCTCTCACATTGATGTTTCTCTCTCTCTCTGCCTCTCCCTTCCTCTCTCTCTAAAAATCAATTAAAAACACATATTTTTTAAAAAAGTTATACATGAGGCCAACCTAAACCTACGTGGCAATTTACATGTTGTGATCTACAGCGTTGCACCTAACATTCTTGAATTTGCTCTGCTGTGCAGATGATCGTTACAGCTAACAATGAATCTATGAGGACAGAGAACACGTCCACAGGCCAAGAGCCCACCTGGGTACAGGGAGCTGTAATCATCATAATCCAGGGTTGGACTCATCCCCAGCAGAAAAAGAACTTGGCAATCCACAGGGTGATGACTTGATAAGTAGGAGGTGTTACAGGGAGAGGCACTAGTCAGAAAAGTGCACGCGTGGTTACCTAGTGACTCAGCACCAAATACTAGTAGTTAAAATGCAACCATCTTGGGGGGCGACATTTCCCCTGGGTTTCCCTGGATCTCTCATCTCACAGCCTCACATACACTGAAGCCTTCATATGAAAAACATGCAATTCTAAAGCAAAATCCTAAGGCAGTGGTTCTCAACCTTCTGGCCCTTTAAATACAGTTCCTCATGTTGTGACCCAACCATAAAATTATTTTCGTTGCTACTTCATAACTGTAATGTTGCTACTGTTATGAATCGTAATGTAAATATCTGATATGCAGGATGGTCTTAGGCGACCCCTGTGAAAGGGTCGTTCGACCGCCAAAGGGGTCGCGAACCACAGATTGAGAACCGCTGCCCTAAGGTATCTCGGGAAGGTCACAGCGGCTTCTGTAAATGGCTGAGGGCTGAGACCACCGGTGTGAGGATGTCAAGAAGAGACACAGCTCAGAATGGGGCAGCAGGACCCACACATGGGGGGTCCTCCGGAGAATGTCGGGAGGTGCTGAGGGCTGAGTGGGTTCGTTCGTACAGGTACCGCTGAGGACCTGCTCAGTCAGTGTCCCTGCAGAGGCTGCACACCAGTGGTTTATATGTTTACAGTGCTTCACAGTTTACAAGCTGCTGTCACGTGCAATAACTCAGGCATCTTGAAAACACTCCCAAATCACTTCAGGCACTGCTGGTTTGCATGTGAACAGCTCTGTTGGCCAACCACCTGACCTGGGGCCAAACAGCCACCTGTGAAGGCGTCCTTGCCCCCCTGGCTACATGCAAAAAATCAGCCAACCCAGCCGGCTGCTGGAGTTAATTGCTGTGGGGATCCAAAGTCAACAGAAGTGGCTGGGGGGAAACAAAGGTGCTAAGGAAAGGTAATCAGAAGTTCAGCGTGGGGCCATTAGCAGGAGTGCTTCCCACCACAGCCCAGCTGGGCACACACCAGAGACGGGGTCAGTGCCTGGGATCTGCCTGCGGCTGATTCAGTGGTGTTAGGGCCAAGGGGGGCATGCAGGGTAAGGTGAGCAGTGTATGGTTCCATTGTGTGGAAAAAAACTCTCAGAAACATGTATCTCAAGATGTAAGTTCTTGAAAAACAATAATACCAATACAGAGGGCAGTCAATGGCTTTCCATAGAACCTTCAGGATCCATCTCAATCCCTACACCTACCTACAGGTCCCCCCAGCCTCTCCTTTTCTTCCTCCTGGATCCCAATGCCAGGTCTCTGGGTCAGCAGACAAGCCAACCCCTGCTCTATTCAACCTCCATGTGATGGGTGCATTTCAGCTCCACCCCTGGCTCAACCCACCCAACTCTGCTCTCCTGCACCACTGGAGACCAAGGCTCACACACTGTGGGGCTGGGGCCCAGCCAACACCCATCCCCTCAACACACACACACACACACACACACACACATTTTCTTAGAAGAATAGTTTTCACTAAATTATTTTTTAAATATTTCTTGTATGCTTGCCTCTCTTGCAGGGTAGTAAGATCTGTAAAGGCGAGGAATCAATTTTCTATCTGGGTATATCTCATAACCCAGACTCACTGTGAGCATATAATAAAACTCATTGGTTGAAAATTAATATCTATTCCCAAAAGTGACCTAAAGACTTCTTATACCTGAGTCATCAGGCAAAGGTACAGTCCTCCTTCCTGAAAATGCGGATTCTGGCCCTTTCTGATGGAATCCACAATTCTTCTTGGAGTGGGGCCCGAAAATTTGCACTTGAAAGTGCCCAGTTAATTCTAATATACTCTGAAGTTTAGAGATGCTGTTTAGCACATCTCTCTAGCTTTTCCTCTTTGGTTATTTAAGAAATAATGTTCCGATACATCACTGCTGAGAAAACATGTCCCAAATTCACATGAAACATGCCCCAAATGGCAACTTTGCATTTGGCAGTTAGGAGTGAAATGCTCTGTAGCTACCGTGACTATATTTCCAAGACCAGCAATACAAGCCCCTTGACTAATACTAGGGTCTAAACTTGGGGAAAATTTATCAACTTGATAAATTTATTATTCATGAAGGTGCAACAGATCGCTAAAGGCAAGGAGGTTTTGACATGTAAAACGCTCCCTCCCAGGGCTAAGCCCCTGCAGGGGCCAGCCTTGGGAAGAGGCATGCAGAAGGCGGAGCTGCCTATCAGCTTCCAGATTTTAGAGAAGCCCTCATGTTTTAGGGTGACGGTTCACTAACTTTTCACAGCACTAACTTTTGAGACCAGATAATTCAGGTTAACAGTGATAAGGTGGCCGGGCCCTTCTTAAATCCCTGCTGGATTGTGTGAGGATGGCCACACACTGCACGAAGCATCCGAACCATCTCCCCACCTGGGAAAGCAGGCCCAAACACAAGTAACAGGTGAGGGATAACTTCCAAGGCAAGGACAGAGCTGGGGGCGTGGGGGGGGGGGCAGTGGCTGCATTATCTGTAGGCCTTGAGGCTGTCATCTGTTCTCTCCCCTGGATTGACTAGGAGCCTGGACTCACTGCTGGTGAACAACTTCCTTCCGCGTGAAACACCAAAGGACGATGCGATTGAGGGCCTGTAATAGCTGCGCCCAGCGCTCCGTGTGAGCGTGACATGAGGTGCAGATCTCTGTCCATACAGAGGACTAACGTTTCTCCTCTTTCTGTCCCCAACTGGCTCACAGACGGAAACCCCACATTTTGGCGGCTGGGCTGCAGCCATCACAAGTCTTAAACAGGGGCACAGGGAAATGACCATCCACACAAAATCAACTAAACAGAACAAGAGTTTGTAACAAAGATCTGGAAGGCCCTGACTGGTTTGGCTCAGTGGATAAAGCGTCGGCCTGCGGATTGAAGGATCCCAGGTTCGATTCCGGTCAAGGGCATGTACCTTGGTTGCGGGCGCATCCCCAGGAGGGGGTGTGCAGGAGGCAGCTGATCGATGTTTCTCTCTCATCTATGTTTCTAGCTCTCTATCCCTCTCCCTTCCTCTCTG